CGGTCAAATCGGCGACCGAACCTTCGTCTTCTTGGTCCACCTCCGATCCAAAATTAGCAGAGACAGACTCGTCATCATCATGACCATCATTCGCTTGGTCATTCATATCCTGGCGATTCTCACCGACGTCCTGGTTGTCGTGATCTTCGTCCTCGTTCTTCTCACCGACGTCTGCCGACCGATCCTCATCAGCCATAGAGGATTCGTACGCAACCGTAGCTCTGACAATAGTCTCTGCATCCCCCGAGTTGTCAAGTACGACGCTCTGGCTAGACTCATGGATGCTTTCCATGTCCACGCCGTCGTCACTCGAGATGCTGATCGTGTCGTCTTACTCTCCAACTTCTTCGCTCACAAACCGTAACCACTCACCATCATCTCGGTTAGTTAGATCGACGTGATGACGGTCGCCGTATATTACGTCCTCAATAACGCGAACCTCGGCGACAAACTTGACCGTGTTCTCGTTGGGGATATACACACATGCGCCGACAGTGTCCATTTCGAACCCAAGCAAATAGCCGATGATAGCATTGTCGTCACTCTTCGAACGCTCCGGTGTGTTCGTCACCTGAATGTACACGAGCGAGCCAAAGGGCCTCAAGTGGTGCACATTAGCTTTCACGCCGATCATTCGCTGGAGTGGAATCCCATCAATGGCTCGATGGTACATCATGTTCTTGATGTATACACCATATAAAAGGGCATACCACCAAAACGAACGAGCAAATTCAAACTTGTGCATCTGCGTCTTCGTGTAGTCATCCAACGATTTGATCGCACGCTCCACAGCATTCAGATGTGAGATCTTAGGTCCAACTTGATGTGCTCGATTCCACGCTCCGCATAGAACGCCTTCATATCCTTGTTCACGAACTCACCACCTTTATCTGTGAGAGCGCATTGCACCGGAAACTTTGCGCTTTCTGCAGGCTCGTGCTCACGCTGGACGATCTTCGTGATCCCACGACCAGCTTGGCGCTCCGCCCACAGCACGTAGCGCTGCATGTACTTGTTGACAGTCTTCCCACTCTTGTCGGTACACAGTTGAATATCAGGCCCAGCCATCCATAATTACGAGAATCGCGACATATCGCGACCCGTTGTTTTGTGGCGTGAACATCAAATCAGCAAACACAATCATGTTGGTAGCCGTAACTTGGCGATCCGACTTCTGCTGACGTCGCTTCTGTCTCTGCTTGCCAATA